CCAATGGGGTGTGTGTGTGTGTGTGTGTGTGTGTGTACCTTTCCACATATGGGCAACAAGGCTGATTCTGTAACTTGGCTATTATGAATTGTGTCATGATAAACATGGGTATGTGATGCATGTATCTCCATATTATGCTTAATTTTTAAAAATTGGGTATGTATCCAGAAGTGTTATGGAAAGATCATATGGTAGTTCTATTTTTAGGTTTTTGGGGAATCTCCACACTGTTTTTCATAGTGACTTTACTAACTTACATTCCCAACAAGGCTTAAATGTTCCATTTTTCTTGGATTCTGAAGAGCATTTGTTACTTTTTATTTCCTACACAATAACCAGTCTGACCCAGTGAGATGGAATCTCAATGTAGGTTTGATTTACATTTCCCTAAAGGCTAAATATGTTAAGCATGATTTCATATATTTATGAAATATACTTGTACTTTTTAAAAATTGAATTACTTGTTTTTTTGTCAATTTTTTGAGTTCTTTATATATCCTCAATATTATTCCTTTTCCAGATGAATAGTGAGCAAATAACTTTTTACCATTCCATAGGTAGTCTCTTCATTCTGTTCATTTGCTCTACAGAAGTTCTTTAGTTTAATGTAATTCAATTTGTAAATTATTATTTCTTGAGCTATTTGAGTCCTGTCCAGGAAATCATTGCCTATATCAATGTTTAAAGTGTTTCCCCCAATGTTTTCTTATTGTAGTTTCAAATTTTTCAAGTCTCATTAAGGTCAGTGATCTACTTAAAATTACTTATTGTATAGTTTGAGAGATAGGGATCTTTTTGCAATTTTCTGCAGAGAGATGTTCAGTTTTAAAGAATCATTTGTTAAAGAGGCTATCTTTTCTCCAACATATGTTTTTGGATTCTTTGTTGAGAATCAGATGTCTGTAATTGCACAGTTTATTTTTTCTGCCATCGGTCAACATTTCTAATTTTATATAAATATCATGATGTTTTTCTTTTTTCTTTTTTTTGCTTTTCTTCATCTTTTTATGATTTATTTATTTTTTAAATACCCAACAGTTGAATGCATTACTATCATTATTATACAGATAGAGCACAATTTTTCATATCTGTTTATAAAGTATGTTCACGCCAACTTATGCCATTATACATGTACTTTTTTTTTGCATTACAATTCTTAATACACACACACAGACACACACACACACACACACACACACACACACACATATATATATATATATATATAGAGGACTCAAATAGCTCAAGAAATAATATAATTGTGATATATATATATATATATATATATATATATATATATATATATA